AAAAAAAAAAAAAACTGAGAAAATCCATTAATGTGTGCACATACATGTAGGGCTCTAAACCCAGATGGTTAATCTTCATTGGATATAATCAACACTCATCTCTGTAGTCTAAAGCAGAATTACACAATGTAGCTCATTGTCATGCTTAATGGTCAAATGAGACAAAAAGCTAACTATTTCTGTTTTTAGTAGTCTTATGGGTTAAACCTCAACACACACAACTACTTGTGTGTGTGTGTGTGTGTGTGTGTGTGTGTGTGTATAATATTTGTGTTATTTACCCCATATATTATTCCTAGGACATATTTCTAGACACTGTAGCTTTGGTACAGTGCTTTAAATCATCATTTATTCTCTTTTGGCCTATGAATTAGGCAGTTTTTTGTATCAAAAAATATGCTGAAATTTTTCAGGCATGTTTATTTTCTTTAAATTAGTATGTACTTTTCATATTATTAATGTATTGCCTGTTTTATATTAACACACTGTAATATAATTTTATTGATTCTTTAATAATTTTATACCATCCACCCCAATCTCACTCACTTGTCAGTCCCTCTGTATCAGTCCTTCACCCCTGTATCATCCCCTGACACCCACACAAAAGAAAAATAGAAAAACAAAAAAATTAAGAATAAAGATTAATTTTAAAAAACAAAAATAACAAGAAAAGCCAAAAGAAACAAATGCTTTGCTCCTATATCTTTGCCACTTCTCCATTACCTCTTCATTTTTTAGTGGCAATAGCAGCTACACAGAGTATATCCTTTTCTCCAAATATCTTTACTTGCTAATGTTCACAAATTATAAAATTACCTACTACAGAAGTACACAAAGATTCAAGAAGAGTCTCACAATTGTGCTTCTAATGAAATTCATTTTCATGATCTATTTACAGTGGCTCAAATTTAGCTAGTGACTATGACAAAAGAAAAAATTATAAATTATATAATGGTTAAAATCTTGGTTTCTGTTCATCATAATTCAAAAGATGTAGGTTAATTACTCACTCTTAGTAAACAACTTAAAGTATGTTTTAAATAAATGAATAAACAATGAAACAACCCTTTGCTGGGCTGAACTAGTCTGTACAGGTTGCCTACTGTTATTATAGCCTTTCCATGCAGCTCCTGCCATTTTCATGAGATTCTTATGGCAACCTGTAGAAATCCTGTAGATTTTTTTATTACTATTGTATCTTTTGAAACTGGTATTAAACTGGAAAAAAAAGCTTTTATTTTTCTCTTCTTTCCTCTTCCATTTAAACCTAACAATATTGTTTTCCTCTTTTGTTGTCAACCAGTCACAAGCTCAGACATACAGATTTTTATGCATCCCCCTAATAGCAAAGGTGTGATGTTGGAGTGTCATTCAGCAGGCTGGTTCCCACTGCCTCATATGGAATGGAGAGACAGCAAAGGAGAGGTCATTCCAGAAATATCAAAATCCCACTCACAGGATATAAACAAATTGTTCAACATGACAATGGTCCTTCTTATTAAAGCCAGCTCCCACCGAAATGTCACTTGCTGCCTTCGAAACCTTCTAACTCACCAAGAAGAAAGCATCAGTATTATCCTTTCAGGTAAAATATGTCTTTGTTCTTCAGTAACAGCCATTATTTCACACACTTATTATTAATTTTTCCTTAGGCCTTTCATTCTCTGGGGCTTACTTTCAATCTAGTTTGTTGTCACTCTTACTCTCTTTGATGTATTTATTTTCTGAATCTATATGTTTGACTATTGTAGTTTGCTTTTCTGTCACTGTGATAAAGTATCATGATCATAAACAAGTTGGGGCAGGGAAAGTGTCTATTTGGATTACACACCTACATCTTAGTGCTTCATCAAGCAAAGCCAGAGCAGGAGCTCAAAGTAGGAAGTTGGAGGCAGGAACTGAAGTAGAGATCACAGAGAAACACTTCACTGGCTTGTTCTCCATGGCTTCATTTGTTTGCTTTCTTAATGCAATTCAGGAACACCTGACCAAGGATGGCAACATCCACCCCCAGGGGTCTGGTCCCTACCAAATCGAAAATGCCACCCACACATGGTCTAAGTCCAATCAGATCAACGTAATTTGTCAATTGGGGTTTCTCCTTTGCAGATGACTCTGGTTTGTGGCAAGTCAACAAAACTAACTGGCATATTGACATTAAAGGTTCCAAGGCATAGCTTTTGAGGCCTTGCTCTCTTCATACTTCCTTTTATCTCATGGCTTTAAGCACCACTGGAACTCTTACTCTTCCTTAAGATATGTCTCCTCTATCCTTCTGTTCTAATCTGAAAACTCGTAAGTCAACCCAAATGTTTAATAAATATCATAAAGGGAGCACAATAAGAACTAAAGTCATTGTTACTCCCGAACTTGCTTAATTTAGTGCTTTGGAGTATCAGTTCATATTTTCAGTTCTCAGAACCAAGTCATTAAAATCACCCATTACTTAAATTTTCTATCACATTCACACATACAGAGAAATAATTCTAGGTCTACCATTAAAATATACCAGATTTCATTGTTACTGGAGACTCAAGACAGATGTCTGACTTAGGGTACCAGACTGTGGTGGTTCCAATGATCCAGATTAAGTCCAATGATCCCGATCCATATATCATAAAAAGAAAAATGGGTGTAAAACCTGAAAACAAAAGAAGACAATTTAATTTCACTCTGGCCACATTGATAGTAAAAACCTAAAGGTGACCCAACTGTGACAATATAGGCCTTGAAATTATACAGACATGAATGAACAAAAGCTAGAGTTGAGAGGTTTTGAACAGCCCAGTGAATAATTCCACCAAAAGGTTCCTATATATAAGGAGTTGGGGATAGTGACACTCCATTTGGTGTAGACCAGGAATCATGGGATATAAGATGAAATTAGAGATCCAGTAAGTCAGAAAAGAATGAATACTATAGAAAAAGTAGTCAAGTCAATAATTGAATTCACATTTTTAAAAAATATATAAATATCAACATATTTATATTCCATAATATAACATATATTATGTATATTTTATCAGTAGATATTATATACTAGTATGACATATTAATATTTATATATAATAAATATGAAAATTGTAAATATTCATTACTGTTGATGTTTTTCTCACAATGACATGAGATTTTTTTAAGGCTGAATTAATTTATGCTGAAGCTAACATTTTTTATTTTGGTTATTCTAATTTGTAATTAACTTGAAAACATTGATATTTCAAATATTTGAGTATAGGATTATTTAGTTAATCCAGAAAATTCTAATTGGGGGTAAGAGTTAGAAATCTCAAAAAAGATGAGGAAATGGAAGAACATATACAAAACTACATAAGCTGTGGATTCCTATCAAATTACTGTGTGAAAGATCAGAATGGAATGTGCTAGAAATAACAAACCCAGTATGTTTGTTATAGTGTTAATGTAATGAGCAGAAATATCTCTTTGTTCATGTTAGGTATAATTTGCTTGGGGGGAGAAGCAAATTTCATGCTTAAGAGATTAAAATTTGTTACAATTAAGAATATTTTAGTAATTCAAGGAATTACTTGTACCTATTTTTTCTTTTTTTTTAACTTTTTTATTTGAATTAGAAACAGGATTGATTTACATGACAATTCCAGTTCCCTTCTCCCCTACCACCACCACCCCAACTAAAACCTTATCTATCACATATCCTTTCTGTCCCCCTGGATGGTGAGGCCTTCCATAGGGTGTCATCAGAGTCTATCATATCCTTTGGGATAGAACCTAGGCCTACCCCCATGTGTCTTGGCTCAGGGAGTATTCCTCTATATGGAATGGGCTCCCAAAGTCCACACCTATATGCTAGGGATAAGTACTGACCTTCTACAGGAGGTCCCATAGATTTCCGAGGTTTCCTCACAGAAACCCATGTTCCTGGGGTCTGGATCAGTCCCATGCTGGTATTCCAGCTATCAGTCTGGGGAGCAAGAGTTCCCCAATGTTCAGGTCAGCTGTTTCTGTGGGTTTCACCAGCCTGGTCTGGACCCCTGTGCTAGTCACTAGTCCTTCTCTGAATCTGGGTTCCAGTTCAGTTCAGTGATTAGTTGTGGGTGGCTGCTTCTACTTCCACCAGCTTCCAGATGAAGGCTAGAGGATGGCATATAAATTAGTCATCAATCTCATTATTAGGGTAGGTTATTTAAGATAGCCTCTCCTCTGTTGCTTAGATTGTTAGCTGGTGTCATCTTTGTAGATCTCCAGACATTTCCCTAGTGCCTGATTTCTCTGTAAACCAAAATGTCTTCCTCTATTATGGCATCTCCTTTCTTGTTATCATCTATTCTTCCCCTGACTCAACCTTTCTGCTCCCTCATGTCCTCTGAATCCCTCCTCTTCTTTCTTCATCACTTATCACCACCTTATCACAGCCATCTAATCCTGAATTATTGATTATGATTTAGAAATAGCACCCTAAAACATTCCCTGTTTCTTACCTAGTTCATGGTGGTATATCCTGAGCATAGGGATAGAATAAATTACATAAAATACCATCTGTGTTAATTTTCCCGAAATTGGTTCCTTTTTGGTTATAGTTAAACAACCCCCAATTTTTTCAGTTATTTTTGCTGCTGTTACTTTCATTGATTCACCTCGTCATGTGATCCTTCTCCACCTTACCTATTCACACATCCGTGTAGATGAGCTCTGTCCTCAGATTTTTCCTCTACTTATCTCTTCTTCCAACACAATGTAAATTCAACTAACTTTCCATATCTCCTTCAATTCCATATTCAAATCTCACTTCCTCATAAGTATTACCTTGATGACCAACCTGAAACATGTAACTTGCTTCTACACACCTGAAGGTCCCTGTTTCCTTAATAGTTTAACTTTGCTTCCTTTATTATTAGTGCTATTTTTAGCTATTATGCAACTCTTTTATTATGATATTTCTCTATATCTGTATCCTTTCCAAAAAAAAAACAAATCTTTGGTGATTTTATATACTGACCCTCTTAACTGCTTCAAATATTGGATGCCACATTATAATTAAACAAATAAAACATGTTACATTACAGGAACTAAATAAAATCAAAAGAATGTATTATAACTATGCACTAGTATTGGTATATATCCATGAAATTAGACAGATACTTTCTAGAAGATACTTTTAAAAGGATGAAAGGCACTGATTTGGTAGATATATATACATATGCATATATGTGTATATAAATAAAAGTAAAATTGAAATATTTGTTAACTTATTGCAACTTCATTGAGTAACAAAATGTATACTTTATGATCTAATATTTTCATTAAGTATTTATGAACTCTAAGCCATGTGTTTTAAAATAATTACAATAAACACAAACTTTGGACACTGTTGTACTTTTAGGAAATGGAAAATATTTAACCATATGTTCCATCTATGGAACATAAAAAAAAATCAAGTATGATGACAAAGAAAGGATCATGATCAAACTTAATCATGCAGGAATTTGTTGCTGAATGACTAGCAAGCTAGCAAGGTTCCAATTGGAGATCACTGGATTACAAGGCATGAGAGTTTATCTGGGGTAGAGACTATACTGGGTAATTACATGCATGAAAGTAACAGCTCAATACAGGTTTATTCCACAACAAACAAACATTCAAGTGATATAAGAGAATTCTTGGTGGGCTCTAAATTGCCTCATGCTAGACACAATGACATGTTTTAAATGGTGTAGAATTTTTACCTGGGAAGAAAGATTGGCCAGTAGTCAGGCAGGTAGCATAGGTGGGGCTACGAGACAAGGTTAAGACTGGGGAAAGGAAGGCAGAAAGAAGTGGTGAAGAGATGCCATGCTGCTGAAGGCGTAACATGCTGGATTATGAAAATACATAGATTAATATAAATAGGTTAATAATTAAGACAGAGCTAACCAATAAGAAACCTGAGCCATCCGGTAAACATATTATATTTAATATAAATTTTTGTGTGTTTATTTGGGGCAAAGAAGCTGTGGAACCAGGCAGGAGAAACCCCCTTAAGAGAAAAGGAAATTTTATGCAAAGTTAATTCCCTAGATATATTCAGGAACAGTAGTCCCAGAACCAATGGGTGCACTGAATAGAGCAGGGCACATGTCATGGAACTTCAGATATGAATACTGCAGCACTGCTTTGGACTGGCTTTATGATTCTTATTGGCAGCCTACAATTGAACATTGGGGAAGATTTTGCTCTGTCTCTTCCTTTTCGCCCAGGAAGCATATGAGGCAGGATTAATAAAAAGAAATGAGAGAGGTGGCCTCCACATACCTTTTTATCTACCTCACTCTAAAACATATCTGGCTTATTTGACTCTGGAAACAGTCTGTTCCTTACCCAGCCCATCATAACTACCTCTCCACACTTGCCTAGGTCTAATATTCCAAGGTGGTAGACTTAAATTGTATCACGCTTCAGATGAATCACTATTCTTAATGATGTGTGTACAAGCAAGTTTTCTCAGTGAAAAGATTTGTGCCTCACATTTCAGATGAACTGTTTTCATGGAGAAGAGTTTGGATATATATTCTGAGTATGATAGAATTTGTGCTGATAGCCTTCCTCTTGACTTCCTGTGCTCAGCAACATTCCATATTTGGTAAGTAGGTTTGAGTGGTGTGGAACTAAAGTAAAATAATGGGAAGTACCTAAAGCTATTCAATCACTGCTTCCCACATCATTCTGCCCAGGAAGTCCTTAACTCTGGGGTCTTATGCTACATAGGATCTTACCTATGAGTTTTAATAGGTCTTAATAATAAAAGCCAAGAGTCAGGTATATGTTTAATGTTCAGAGATACAAAGGTTCAAACCACATCCCACCTAAACTCTTTAACTTCCCAAATAAAAAAGAGGGAGCTCTCGTCTCCTCCCACCTTACATTCCACTCTCTGCCCAGTCATATCACTTCCTGTCTGTCTGTACCAACCTCCAGACCACTGTGGTTAGCTAGTAGCTAGCTCCAAACCTCTGATTTTCAGGCAAGCTTTATTTTATTTGTTAGAGCACAAAAAATATATCACCACTTTTCCACATTTTGTCTAAAATGAAAAAGATTATAACTACTATAAGATAAAATATACAATAAGTACAATAATTATATACAACATATGCAGGCAATGAACACATCAACAATGTCTAATCCATTAGCAATTGACAAATACAGAGAAAATACTCTGTATTTATCCTGTCTGGGTGAGGCTAAAAGGTTGTACCTAATTCACTTTCTATCCTAACATACATTATCTACACAAAAATTGTGTTTTTATGTTTCTCGACCTTATATATTTTTCACCTCTTTGGTGAATGTCTTTAATGAAGCTAGTAACCAGGAAAACTATAACTATAAATTTGTCAACTCCACAGAGACTCAAGAAGGAAATAATATTACTTGAGTAAGCAAGAAGTGCAAGAAAGTGGCTGTGAGAAATGACAGAAACTGTTGGCTTCCTAGACAGTCACCTAAGGTTCCTCTTCAATGTTGGGGCATTCATCTTCAGCCTATGGTGCTAGGAAATCTCACAAATATTTCTGTGAAGCAAGATATTCTAAACAGATGTCCTACCTTGTATTGTCAAGGTTTGGTAGTCATTTCTTTTGTGTCCTGCTTGTCCAATTTGGACAGCATACTGTCAACAGTCAAAGCTAAAGTAATCTCTTGCACAGTGGCTTATTTTTGCCACAAAGAAAGTAAACTCTACATAGAGTCTCAATGTCCATCATCTTGTTTGAAGTAAATTGGTGCTGCCAGAAGAAGACATGTCTCATTGTCATATAAACATCTTAAAAGCCATATTCTGCAGCCGTTATTCCTTTCTCATTAGCATTAAGAAAATTAAAAATTCATAAAGCATTATGCAATCTATATCTAGGGGTCATTATTATCCCTGTCAGTTAATTTAGCATATCCTTTAGAGTTCAATTTGATCTTTCTGAAATTGCTTACCCTGTAGGATTATGTAGTATACCTGTAATTTGCTTTATATTGTAATGAGCAAAAAAAAAAAAAAAAACTGTTTCATTTTAATAGGGTTATACGTTGGAGCAATGGCTGTCTATCCCAGAGAAGTTGGGGAAGAATGGTTGCCTAGATTGTAAAATGGTCAATTTGAGGCTTATCATTATGAGGGCAAGGCATGTTATTTGGGATATCAATATCAATATCTTTTGCCATATGATATGAGATGATTAACTTCTTTTCTGTAGTGACACACACTCAAAGTGACCATCATAAATCTCACAACCAGTGCTGAGGTATATGATAGTAAGACATCCTTTGGGAAGCATATTCTTAGTGTGGGCATTTTCTGTTACATGCATCAGATGGAATGCTTCATTGATGAATGGGGTCTGCTTCATGTGAGTATGCAGACTCACCCCAAATGCCTGGTGGACCAGATATTGCAATCCCTGAAAGGAAGTCCTACTACTTTCATAAGAAAGTTCTGTCAGCAGTCTCATGCCTTTGTCGTGGATGATAGTACATGAAACTGAGGCTCATCTCTCTGTCCAGGAAGAATTTTCTTACATGAATAAATGATGAGTATATTACAAGACATGAGGATGTTGCTATTCTCCACACTAGTCACAGATATGACAGGGAAACAGAAACAAAGGGAGGATGAGAAGATGTCAATATGCAATGCCAATGTTAAAGGAGGAAGGAGGGAACATGTTAAATAGGATAAAAGGGTAGGTTAATGAATCTACTTTAAAAAGCAACTATTTGTTTTATATATTGTACATTGATATGGATCTTGGTATATTGATACTAATTTGAGATTAATTTTGTTAGAAGATATTGTCCATACATTTGTACTCTAGCTCACGATATTGTCCCTATCATGAGTCCCAACTCATTTAACAATATAATACAAATTTCTAGACTTTGAAAGTTTTTATTACCAACTAAGTAGGATATAAAGAAATGGCAAGTTACTAGTCACCTATTACAATTAAACTTGTAGTCATGTTGCTTATATTTTCAAGGCCAAACACATATATATTTTAGATAGATAAGTTGTCTTCAAACACTTCATAGATCTACAGAATATGGCATTTAAGAGGTTTTAATAACATAGATCCTTTTATGACAATGAAACATGTCTGCTTTTGGCAACACCAATTTACTTCATAGAAGAGAATGGGCATTGAAGAAACTCCACATGGAGTTTACTTTCTTTGTGGCAAAAAATAAGACACTGTGCAAGGGATTGTTCTTGCCTGGACTGCTGACAGTATGCATCCAAATTGGACAGGCAGGATACAAAAGAAAGTGAATGCTGAACTTTGCCACAAGGTAGTACAGCCCTTCAGAATATCTAGCTTACTCAATAGTCTGTCAGCTATGCTAGGCCTGTAGGTTGGGAATGGATGCCCCAATGTTGCATAGGAAACTTGGGTGACTGTCCAGGCAGCCAGCTATTTCTTTCATTTCTCACATTTTTTGGAAGTCGCTTGCTTGCACTTCCTAGGTAATATTATATTACCCAGGTAACATTATATCCTTTGTGGGTCTCTGATAGACTTGAAAACGTTATAGTTACAGTTTTCCTTGTTACCATATTCAGAAAATAAATTCACTAAAATAATTAAAAGTGTATAAGGTTGAGAGATATAAAAAGATAGTTTTGGTAATACAAGTCAGAATAGAAAGTGAATTAGGTATAACCTTAGGAATCACTGAAATAAGATAGATAATGGAGTATTTTCTCTGAATTTGTCAAATGCAAGTATACTAGTCATGGTTGATGTATTTATTGCCTGTATATATTGTCTGTAGCTATTGTACTTATTGTATATAATTTTTCTTATATTAGTTATAACCTTTTTATTTTAGACAAAAAAAAATGAGAAATGTGAAGATACTTTGTTTGTGCTCTAACAAATAAAGCTTCCTGAAGATCAAAGAGCAGAGCTAGTCACTAGTTAACCATAGAGGCCAGGCAGTGGTAGCACACACTAATTCCAGCATTTAGGAAGAGGAAATAGGAAATGATATGGCTGGGCAGAGAGAGGAATTGATAAAGCAGGACAGAGACAGGAGCTCATCTCTCTTTTTTGGTCTGAGGATTTCCTAGAGGCCAAATCTTTAGTGGCTCGCTGCTCTGCTTCTCTGATCTTTGAGCTTTCACCCTGTAATATCTGACCCTGGGTTTTTATTATTAAGACCAATTTAAATTCATGCTACAATCAACATTGCTTTTTATAATGAAATAATTGATACAATGATGGAATCTTTTCATGTAGTATTCATACTGGCTCTCTTTTCTCTATTAGTGTTCATTTAGTTCTCTGGAATCAAGTGATTCTTGCTTAGAGTAGGCAGTAATCAGTCTTTAAAGACCTTGTCTATGCTCTGTTAAAGAGATTTCATTGTGTAAGGCTAACTCATAAATGTCTTATAGTTTTAGAAAAGCATGTTTTGAAAGCTCCCATGTGTAAGTAAAAACCAACAAAAAAGACACTGCTAGGAGCCAAAAGGATGTTAGATGAAATAAATTCTCATTGTCATATGAGAATTAACTCTTTAGAAATCCTCTGAGGCCAATGAAGTCATATGTCCTCACAAACTGCAAAGGCTATTTCTACTGCTGTTGGTTATGATAAAAGCTGGTGATAGTACCTGTTGTTAAAGATACTGTGCCCTTTGGCTACATAATATAAAAATCAGGATAGGACAGAGCTGGAAGCTTCCTCTCTGACTGCTGGCTTTTACAGCACCAGACAATGGCATGGAGATGACTGTTGTTTTGATAAACAGTTGTAGAGTGCCCACAAAATTACATCCTAAACCTGAGTGTTTCTACCCATAAAGCACTTCTGTTACTAGAATGTAAAGAGAACTTTCTCTTTTGTAGTCTCTGTGGAGACTTGCAACTGGTCAAGATCCTGAGAATCAGTGAGTTTTGTTATAACATACTGACTCATACTCAGTCATAATGAAAAATAATTGACATTTGCACAACTCTCTCAAAATTTCAGAAAAAAAAATTGTGTGACTATGAACAGAGGACTAGGTAAAAATATATGAGAATGAGGTATGCATTCAGGGTGGAATACTATTCAGCTATAAATAATAGCATTGTTATTGGTAGGAAACTGGTATTTTAACTGATATAATTCAGAAATACATTTATCACAATTTTCCTCATTTGTGAATTTTAGGATTTACATAGATACAAAGAAACATTTTAAATATGTGTGAGGTGAACATAAAAGAAAGATTGTCTTGGGGAGGGATCCTAAATTGACAGGGAAAGAAAAGATTTGTTGGGGGGAATATGGCCAATGGTTAAGATATATCTGAAAGAAACTATCTTAAAGAAATACATCATTAAATGTGATGAACATATGCCAATAAAATTAAAATTCTCAAACTTGTGTATATTTTTTGCCACAGTGCTATCTCGAAGCAGCACATCCAGGCCCGCAAGATCTCCTCCAAATAATGCAGTATGTCCATCACCTAATGGTTTTGGTATGGATGTTTCTGAATTTCTCTGAAGTATCTGTCTTTCATTTTACATTTCTATTTGCCCTTCTGAACATTGTCACCTGACAGAAAAAGTTGTCTTTTTCCTACCTCTCTTTTGTGATGTCTAGGAAGAGACCACTTATCAGAAATCCATGAATTCACAACTCTCTTTATGCTAGATAATAATCTGTAGAGATCAATTTTCTCTTCTTATTGACATTATCCAAGATTTTTACATCTTTATTTGCAAATAAGAGAGAGGGAGAAAGAGTGTTGAATAGAGGAAATCTTTTAAAATCCCATCCCCCAGAGACACAACTTCTCCACCAAAACTACACCTCTTAGTCCTTCCTGAAAATTCCAACAACTGAGGACCAATGCATATGAGAATATGGTGACCATTCTCATTCAAACCTCCACAGCCATTGTACCTCTCCAGCAGAACAATAGAAACTACTTATGGTAATAAGTTCTCACATTATGGAAATCTTAGGTAGTTAAGATATCTTCAAACCTATCCTTCTTTCAGCCTCTTTCAAACTCAGAAAAAATGATAATATGTAATACATTAATAATGCCTACTCATGGAGATCCTGATGGAACAAAGACTAGCTACTTTCCTCAGGGCCTGCTTGGTCTCAATCCCAAATCTCCCCCCCCCCCGCCCCCCGTAAAAGCAGCTATCCATTTTACTCCTGTCCTCTTATATTCTAATCTTAAATCTTCACCCCTTCTATGAATAAAGGAGGAAGCATTAAAAAATAGCCTTTACACTTGTACCTTGGCATTCCCCTCTCTAGTGATTTCCAAAATACACTGGAAATAATCCCTCTAGAAAGGAAAGGGGGAAATGTTTTAATCATATTATAATATAAAAATTTTAAAGTACAACTTTAAATAACACACAGAGAATAGCTGTTGCATTCTTGATGTATTTTTTCAATGTAACATGCCTCCATTTAAATGTCAAGTGATAATAACATTTTTTTTCTTCAGGGAGGTGTCCTTGGAAAAAGAGTATAACGCTATTTGGGATTTCAATGATTGCAATTGTTGGAATCAATCTCATTTTGCATCTAAGGCAAAGAGGTATGTGAAAGCAAGAGGTGGATGCCACCTTCCCAACTACCCATTAAGATATTTAGCAAAAGAAAAGTGATCATTACCTGAACTATAATACAGGGTCAATAAGCCATGAGAACACATGCCACAATGTCAAGATTACAGAACTCTGAATTTTATAGGCCTAATAGTAGATGCAGCTGATTATTTTGTTGTAGAGAAATAATTTCTTTCAAATTCATAGTGGTTTTAACTTTTTGTTTGTTTGTTTTTGTTTGTTTGTTTTTGTTAGTTCAAATTGGGAACAAGCTTGTTTCACATATCAATTCCTTCTACCTGCCCTCACTCCCACTCCTCCTCCCCCACCCCCAACCCATCCAGCCTCCACTCCCCAGGCAGGGGAGGGCCCTCAACGGGGGCTCCCCAAAGTCCACCACATCATCCTGGGCCGGGCCTAGGGCCTTGCCCATGTGTCCAGGCCAAGAGTGCATCCTTTCACATGGGATGGACTGTCAAAATCCCTTCTTACACCAGGGAAAAATACTAATCCACTACCAGGGGTCCCCTAGAGTGCAGAGGCCTCCTCATTGATATCCATGTTTAGCGGTCTGGATCAGTCCTGTACTGGCCTCCCAGACAGCATCTGGGGTCAATGTGTCCCCCTTGTTCAGGCCAACTGTTTCTGTGGGTTTCACCAGCCTGGTACCCACCCCTTCGATCTTCATTCCTCCCTCTCTGCAACTAAGTTCCAGAGTTCAGTTCAGTGTATGTCTGTGGATGTCTGCCTCTGCTTCCATCAGCCACTGGATGAGGGTTCTAAGATGGCATAAAAAGTAGTCATCAATCTCATTTTAGGGGAAGGGCTTTTAGGTTATCCTCTCCACCATTGCCTGAATTGTCAGTTCGTGTCATCCTTTTAAGTCTCTGGAAATCTCCCTAGTGCCAGATCTCTCCTAGGACCTATAATGGCTCCCTCTAATATGGTATCTCTCATCCTGCTCTCCTCTATTCCTCCCCCAACTCAATATTTCTGCTCCTCTATTTCCTCCTCTCCTTTCCTCTTCTCCTGCTCTCATTCTGGTAGCTCCCTTTCCCACACCCTCATGCTCAAAATTAGCTCTGGAGTTCCTGCTCCTTCACATTCCTGGGGTCCATGCATTTATCCCCTTGAGACTTCATGTTTCCTAATTTCTTTGGTGAAGAGCATTGTAAGTTGGTAATCCATTGCTCTAAGTCTAAAATTCATATATGAGTAAGATCATTACCTAATAAATACTGTTCTTACTGCATTATGCTTTTAGCATAAAGAAGAAAATAATTCAATATCTTAATCGTCTTTTCTTTTTAAAATGCACTTGTGTTTTGAGTACTTCAACTTCATGCCTAGTGTCTGTGCAAGCCAGAAGATAGTCCTAATTCACCAAATGGCTAGTAGCCACCATGTACATGCTGGAAATTGAATCCAGGTCCTCTGAAGGAGCAGTTAGTGCTCTTAACTGCTGAGCTATTTCACTAGCTCTAGTGTCAAAAACGTTTTGAGTCAAGTTCAAAAGTGTTAAAAGTCCAGCATTGAAGTATCAGGAGTTTCTGGGGCTCCAACTCTAACTGAGGAGCTATTACCAGTTAATGGATGCTGAGAGAGAAAGTGTCAGCTTCCTTCAGAAGAGTGGCCATTGGTAGGTTGCCTGTGCCTCAGTATATGATCACATCCCTTGCATTTATGCAGTACAGCATCACCCATTAAACTCATTGGTTTGGCAGAAAATAAAAAGAGGACATGAACTTGGGAGGGTGAAATGTTAGAAAGCTCAGAGTGGATATGTTGGAGTGAAGGGGAGTGGATGGCATCACAATGCATCCAATATGAACCTTCCTAAAGCCAGAGAGTAAAAGAAGGCATAGAGTCGGTGGATGTGGACAAAAGGAGCAGCTGAGAATAGTTTGGGGAGGGAAACCATAATCAGGATTTACTATAAGAAAAAAAAAGTTTGTTCTCACTTTAAAAATTAACTTCTCAAAGGATAAATTCCAAATAAATTAAATATATTCACAAAAGCAAAATTAATTCAAATAATAATTGTCAAAGTGAAATGCTTCTTTGAGCAATGTTTTAGATAATGAATTTAAAACTGCATGTGCATTGTGAAAAGATACTTTTAAATTCAAATATTATTTTTAGAAATGGATACAAAGTAAAAGACACCCCCATGAAAAGTTAACTACTTTTCTAACAAATTTTTTTATTGATTTTATATTATTCATTGATGTATTAGTTAGGGTTTTATTGCTGTGAAGAGATACCATGACAATGACAACCCTTTTTTTAATTTTATTTATTTTTATTCCATGTGCATTGGTATTTCTGCCTGCATGTGTGTCTGTTTATATGAGGTTGTTGGATGCCCTAGAACTGGAGTTGCAGACAGTTGTAAGTTGTCATGTGGGTGCTGGGGATTGAACCTAAGTCCTCTGGAACAACAGCCAGTGCTCTTAACCACTAAGCTATCTCCCCATCCCCACCCCCATGACAACTCTTATAAAGTAAAACATTTATTTAGGGTGGCTCACCTGCAATTCAGAGGTTCAGTCCATTATCATCATGGTGGAACATGGCAGCATGCAGGCAGACATGGTGCTGGAGAGGTAGACCAGTGGCCTACATCTTTGCTTGCAGGCAACAGGAAGTGGTTTCTTTCACTGGGCATGTCTTGAAAATGTATGATCGCTCAAGGCCCACCTACACAGTGACATACTTCACACCTACTCCATCAAGGTCATAACTCCTAGTAGTGTCATTGCAATTGGGGGCCATTTTTCTTTCAAACCACCACAATAAACAACTGGAGTCATTCTTTCTTTTCATCATTGAGGGTAAAATTAAAATGGAAATTTAAAAGATAAGGGGAACATATTTGAAATGTGTTGTCTCCCTTTTGCCCTTAATGTCCTTATGGAAATTTAGTACAAAACACACATGACATGAGGTAAAGTGATTCCTTGAACTGCAGTGGTTCTCAACCATCAGAAAACACATATTTTCAATGGTCTTAGGAACTGAGACATGGCTCATTGGCAAAACTATAGTTATGAAGCAGCAACAAATATAAATTTATGGTTGGTGATTCATAAGACCACTGAAAATATGTGTTTTCCAATGGTTAAAACCCATAGATTGATAACTCCTGCAGTATAGTGAACCAGAGCTATGATGCAGAATAACAATGCTGGATTGAACTCTTTAGAAGAATTTTTCGTTCATTTTCTCCTGTGAAATGAACAAAACAGTAGCCTTAAAGTAAAGGAGAGTAAATTGCAAATTGGACAATATGGTATCTGCATAAATGAGTATTAGAGCCTTATACTCATTAAAATAATCCAGTTATAAAAAGACACTGTGTGATTCCACTATTATGAAGCCATTAAAGTAGTCCAGACATTGCAAAAAGAAAGTAGAGTGGAGGTTTGTAAGAGCTAGAGGTAGGAAGAGGGAGATGGATTATTGTTTGATGGATACAAAACCTCAATTTCAATTTTAATAAAAATAATTTACAGAGATGAATGCTTATGAAAGTTGCACAATATAGATATATTCAATTTTTACAAAAATATAAAGAAGAAAATGGCTAATATGATAAATTTAATATCCTATACCTTTGCCAAAATAAAAATATCTTTCTATTTTACTAAAGAACCTGTTATAATACTGAAAATTCAAGTCATAGACTTTATAAACAAATTCACAAACAAACCAAATCTAGAATATTTTATTTCTTCTTTCACAAGGCAGCTGGGACAAAGCTTCATTTCCTTTTCATGCTATTTTACTTCTGTTTGTGGAATTGTTAACCCTGATGGTTTAGATAAGGCTTAGAGAGTAAAAGTGTTGTTTGTGCATCTGTTCATAATTGACCATAATTCTTCTGTAAATACAGGCATACAGATACCTCTTCTAGGGCTTGTTTTCCATTCTTCTAGGCATATGTCCAAAAATGGAATTTCTGGACCTTGTGTTAATTCTGTTTTTTCTTGAGAAGATAACATACCATGCCCTCACAATTTGACATTCCCACCAACAGTGCACAAGAATGCTCATTTACTCACATACTGCTAATACTTAATTATTTTATTGTCTTTTATCCTACCCCACCAAACTGTAAACTTTGTAGGGATCTTTACTCCAGAGGATTCCATCTCTAAGGCTTACTAGTGGTTCCAGTGCTGACTAAGCCAGTAGCTGATGCCCAGGGGATATTGTTGAGATTCTGCACAAGATAACACAAAATATGGCACCTCAACACATTGTACATTTATACTGAAAAATATTCCAAATGGAATTAGTGGGAATTCTTTCTACCTTCACTCTGCCCTCCTTATGCTTCTCCCATTTCTTTCCAAGGCAGCCCCAAAACTAGAATTCCTCTTTTAGAAATTGGATGTGGAACCTTGTTACTTTCTTCCCAAATCTGGAAACCCTGCTCTAACTTCCCCACTTTGTCTTTTTTAAGAGTTGGCCAGGCAGGGATGCTCTTGCATGAATTTGGCAGTAGGCAATAAGAACTTCATCTAAGAAAATATTTATATTCTATGTTGGGGAGGAAAAATAGAAGTCCTAAACAGCCCAAACTGCCATGCCCTGTTGGGTCAGTCCTTCTGTCCAATCATGTTTATTCAGATCTGCCCAAGCTTCACCAAACAGAATTATGAATAGATATTCATCCTGAGTCAGGGGTCTTCATTCTGAAGGATGCTCAATCATATAGACTGTTGATGAAATATATCTTTGATTCTCTCTTTTTTCATCATTTTTAAATTTTATTTTGTATATCAACCACAGTTTCCCCCTCCTTCCTCTCCTCCCATTCTGTCCCCCCCCTCCTCTATTTTACCACGTCTCCCCAGCCATTCAGATGGGGTAAGGCCTCCCATGGGAATCAACAAAGTATGGCATATTAATTTTAGGCAAGACAAAGCTCCTCCCCCCTGCATCAAGGCTAAACAAAGTATCCCACCATAGGGCATAGGTTTCAAAGAGCCAACTCATTCATCATGGAGAGGACCTGGTCCTACTGCTAGGGCCCCCCAAAAGACCAAACTACACAACTGTCACCCAGATGCAGAGAGCCTAGATTGGTCCCATGGCAGCTCCCTAGCTGTCTGTCCAGAGTCCATGAGCTCCCACAAGCTCAGGCCAGCTGTCTGAGTTTCCCATCAAGATCTTGTTGCCCCTGGCTCATATAATCCCTCCACCCTCTCTTCAACTGAACTCCCAGAGCTCAGTCCAGTGCTTAGCTGTGGATCTCTTCATCTACTTCCATTAGATACTAGACATAGGCTCCCTAATGACAACTAGGGTTGTCATTATAATCTGATTACAGGGGAAGGCCAGTTCAGGCACCCTCTCCACTACTGATAGGAGTCTTAGCTGGGGTTATCCTTTTGGATTCCTGAGAGTTTCCCTGGTACCATGTTTCTCACTCATTACCCCATAATGGTTCCCTATATCCAAAATCATGTAGACCAACTTTCTTCTGCATTATTCTTGCACATGTAGGAGGCATAGAGCAACAGGAACTTGAAAAGCAAAGCTACCTTTCATGTGCAATCAATCCATCTTCTTGGCTGCAAATGTCCTGATTCTTTCTTCTTTTCCCAGTCCCAGTTTCAGATCCACATTTTGAACTGGATACTTTGTGGTTAGAAGATATTAGTGTGGTCCTGTGTGTGCTGATAGTGTTCATCATCAAGCTTGTTTCATTTATTTACTTCAGATTGAAAGGTAACTATAAAAGTAATGCTGGCAACTCACAAGATCTTGTTCATGTTATTCTTGCTCAGATGTCTAGAAGGTGACCACTTCAGTCCTTTGTCTTAGTAGCTGTAAGAAAATCAAAATGAAAAACTGTGTATTGTATGAAGACTTCTAGATTATATCCTCCTTCTTAGGACTACTGGGTCTTTCACAAGGGAGTGTTGTATAGACCCAGTATGAGTGTTGGTGCCTCACATACCAGTATCTGTCCCAGCTCTTACTGGACAATTGCAAAAACCCTTCCAGGTACTGTTGGGAAGGTGGTTATTTTATTTACACATCCAGGAAAGCTCTATTTTCTGAGCTCTTTGTAAGAGCTGTATGAATTTTTAAAAATGTATCTCTGACATTTTGGACTGAAATTTGGTGGGGGTCTTTTTATATTAGAAACAATTTTATTTTATATATCAATCCCAGTTTCCTCTCCCTCCCATCCTCTCATGCTCCCCACTGACCCCCTCCCATCCCATCCCCTTTCTGCTACCCAAGGAGGGTAAGGCATTTAATGTGGGATCATCAAAGTCTGTCACATCTTTTGGGGCTTGGATTGAAATTTTAAGGGCACATTTTAATAGTTTTCTTTGAAATTCATGTAAAAGCCACTAAGGACCAGACTATCAACATTATGAACTGTGATCATGAAGGCTACATCTTTGAATTATCCCCTAACTCATGTGTAAAGCTAAAAGCCATCTTTGTTGTGCAAATACATTTTATATAAGCACATGGATGAGAGCATAAAACTGATAATCCAAGAAGAAAAATTTCCGTAATAGATTCTTGTAATTTATTGATAACATACAATCCTAACATGCTCCATTAGGACTAGCAATATGATTTAACAGTAAGAGCACTTGCTGCTCTTTCCTAATTATTTGTTTTGAGAATTCCATATATAAGTACTATATTTATGTCAATTCCTGTAGGAGAAATGTAGGTATTTGTCCTCAGAGATAAACACTAGGAAAACCAGAAATTTTAAATACACTAGGTTATCTCTTTGAAGGGAGATCTGTATTATCTGTTTTCCACTCTGAAGGCCGAGAGAGCAGACTGGAAATCTCTGTGCTATCTGTATGGCCAGGTCACACCAGCTCCCCTAGACTCTTATCTTGAGGTTGTTTATCTCAGTAAATCTATATCTCTGTCCTCCCCCAGACCATTACCATGAACTTTATTTACATTTAACCTATTTCCTTAGTTGATGTATAGAACCTAACTTTATGAATGTTGTCACTTGTAGTTCATCACAGTTTTGATGTAATTATGCCTTAAGCTTTGTTGTACACTTTGGATTGATGTAATTATCACTGTCAAATCTTTTTTTCCAAATTATGCTGTCCTTACACGTGCCTAAAATAAACTACCTAGTGTCTGACTCTCTAAGTCTGAATCAACACTGACTATTAAGTGCCTTCTTATCTCACACAGATCTCTCTGTTGCCAGTAGTAGTAGTAGAAAACCCCCCAAAAGACACAAAAAGTGAGAAATTTGATGCTTTGTAAAATTCAATCCTTGGTTTCCTAAACAAGGAACTATAGATCTTGTTAATTTGAAGCACACAAGAGTTAATGTGGAGATCTCATGAAAGGTGAGATAAATTTTTATCAATTATTTTATTATTTTGTAACTGGATTACAGTAATTTTTGCTGGGACCCTCTCAGGAAGATCATTTTGAGAGAGAGAGAGACAGAGAGAGAGAGAGAGAGAGAGAGAGAGAGAGAGAGAGAGAGAGAGAGAGAGAGAGAATTCCCTGCACGATGTATCTTAACAAGTCTTGGCAGGGTGGCATTTTCCACTGCTGAGTTCCAGCCAGATCAGCATCCATTACAACACCTGAGTACCAAGAAGTGACAGGTGGGGCTCCATAACCTCCACTTGAATTCTAGGGCTCAGCTGTCTCAGTGCTTAGCATATTTTCCTTCACAGCAGAAATGACACAGTATAGATGGATCAAAGGTCCCTTGATAGAGAAAAATTCAAGCTATCCCAAAGTCTAGGTCAGGAACAATTACAAATAGGACATATAGAACCTTCAGTCAGTCCTTGAAATTCCCCTATTTTGTAATGCATAAAAACATAAAAAATAAATTTTGATTGTTACATGATCTCAGGGACATAAATACTACTATGAAAACAATGGGGACAGTCCAGTCAGGCTCCCTGCCCCTACTATGATTCCTCAAGAACATTACATTATTATACTTAACTTAAAAGACTATTTTTCTCTATTTTTACATTCTGATGATAAGGAAGATTTTGCACTCTCTTTTCCTACTTTAAGCAATCATTGGTCAATGACTTGATATCAGTGGAAAGTTTTATGACAGAGGAAGGAAATAGTCCCACTATATGTCAATATTACATACATAAAGCACTTATGCCAGTACTGATTAAATTTCCTGAGGTATTTGTCATTCCTTATATGGATGACATTCTCTTCTCCTGATCATCTAATCATTACTTGAATGATTGCTTAACTTTTATAGTAAATAAAATACAAAAGCAATCATCCTTTAATTATTTAGGTTATATTATTACTCAACAACTAATTCTCCACCATCCTCTCAACTTAAAAACAATGTACTGTCAATTATTTTTTAAAAAAAGTCATTTCAGTGGGATACACGCTTATGTACCTATCATTACTGATGATTTGGCTACATGCTTTAAGTTTCTTTCTAGAAACTCTCAGTTAAACTTCACCCAAACAACACTAAAATCAGAGCAAGTTATTATATTAGATAATGCTACTGCTAAAATGATAGCTCATAGAAGTAATCACTTACTTTCTTATTAATTACTCATTCCCCCTTCCTCCTCCTCATTATGTATCAACAAGGAAATGGTATTAGAAGTTTTATGGTATAGGGTGGTGGTGGTACTGGGCTTTAATCCCAGCACTTGGGAGGCAGGGGCAGGCAAATCTCTATGAGAGTTCAAGACCAACTTGGTCTACAGAGCAAGTTCCAGGCCAGACAGAGCTACACAGAAAATGCCTGTCTTCACCCTAAGATGCCAAAATTTCCACAACAATCTGTTACTCCTTATTACAAGAAATTATAGGCTTGATAATGTCTGGAAGGGCACATCTTAAGCAACTTACTGGTACAGAGCCTACAGAAATCATTGTGCCACTAAATAAAATCCAGGTTGATAACTTGTTCCACACTTGTAAAAATTGACAGGTAGCATTAGCATGTTACTCAGCATCTATATATAGTCATTACTCAAAAGATGACCCTTTAAGATTTTTTATAAGATACCCCATGGGTGCTGTCTAAGATTATATCTAAAAACCCTATAGAGATCTTTAATACTTTTATAGATGGTTCTTCAAACGGACAAGGACTATAGTTTTATATGCAAATTCCACATGTGCTCCACAAAACAAGATTGTACCCACCCCTGGTTGTACAGCTCAACACTCCAAACTCACTGTAATCAATCTGCTTTTATTTGATGCTTCTCAGCCATTGAATATTAAAACTGACTTCCTTATGAGTCAGTACATAAAAGATAGAAATGCACTGAGAATGAAAACTGGTCTATCTTGAGAGATAAACTATGTTGAAAATAGGTTGAGTGTAGAAAGGATGTAATGGAAGGATAGAAACATTTGGAACAAGGTCCTCGAGGATGGAGTCTAGTAAAAGAGAAGTGGAAATGATTGGGACATGAAGTGTGCTTGTTCAGCTGAGTTTCTTTGCCTTGAAAATAAAAGGTAAATAAAAAATAAAATCCAACCTATTGAAACATGACAGTAATACTGAACTCAGGCACCTCTTCTCTAGAGAACAAAGCAGTGAAAACCTGTGTAGGTGGAAAACCAGGAGCAGCTGTGCCTATTGCTGGAAGGAAGCTACTACAAGGTTTGGTTGAGGAGTTTTCTGTTACTGAGACTGTAGGAGATGCTTTCTCTGCTATTGCCTGGTCAAATTATGCATCCATTCAATGGTGAAATCATACCATTAACAAAACAAGGAATTTTATCTTGTGGTTCCTTTGCATTTATAATCAATACAAATACATTTTTTAATTTGCATTTTTGCACAACCAAAAAATGGAAACTAACAAGGTAAACAGTTTTGGAAAGATTTAAAAAGAAAAATAGGGTAAAACAGCATTAAAAAAGGGTTTTTTCCTTTTTAAAAATATTTCTTCTGGATAATGCAATGGCCAAGGAATGCAAACATAATTACTTGTTTCTCAAGTTCCCTCAGAGGCTGAAAGTGGTTAAACAAAAATTACAATAAATAAGAATTTGATTATTTTGAGTTTTCACCTAAAATTACTTTTGAAACAGCCTGAGAATCTGTTACAGGAGACTGTCTATGAAATGTGATACAAACTAAGCCTCCCAGCAAGTTCTTCATCCATGGAACCTTAATGTTTTGATTCTGTTCATGTTTTTTTTTGTTTCATTTATAGCAGTGATTCTCAACTTGTGGGTCATTACCCATTTGGTGGTCAAACAAGCCTTTTGTAGGGGTCACCTGAAACCATTGGAAATATCTACATTATGTTTCCACATATCTACATTATGTTTCAAAACAGTGGCCAAATTACAGTTATGTAGTAACAATGAAAGTAACTTGATGACTAGGGTCACCACAACATGAAGAATTAAAGGGTATCAGTACTGGGAAGATTGAGAACAGTATCATCTGGATATCAGCATGTTTCTCTTTCATGATTTCTGTGATTATTTCTCAGGCACTTCTGAAATATCCTGTTTTCTCATAGGAGGGTCCTATTGAGCTCAAAATTAAAATTTCCCTAAATTTAAAAAATCCTAAATATCATTTAAAAGCTTTAGACTCAAATCTTTATAAATTAATGATCATTGTTAATTAAGTTTTGTTTGGTTTTTTTTAGTTTTGTGCTTTCCCTTGGTCTGACAAGGATGATCAGACTCTGGGAATGGAGGAAGTTAAGGGAAGCCTATCCTGTAATCAAGGATTT